GTAGTGTTGATGATGTAGGTCAGGTCATGACACCTGCCCAGTGAATCTGTTACCTGTCAATCCATGTGAGTTATGTTTGTGACTTTTGAACTTAACAAGGTCTGTGTGAACACTAAATGGACAAAAACTAAACAATGCCACCGTCATTCTTTGCTGGGACCAAATGAATCAAACCATTGTCTTAAATTGTGCAACAGGCTCAGACATGGACATCTGCCAATTAGGAAGCTGCATTGTAAAATCTGTCTGAGATGCAGCATGCAGCATCTGCCAAGAACACATTCTCAAACATTGTGTAACAAAAAAGGGACTCGTTCCAGTATATTTTAAAAATACCAATACATCATGTACTGAACAGTCTGCAAATTCATCCTAAGCAACACACCCATCTACGTAGGTGAATACAATTTCAGCTCCACCCTCCTGCCTACAGACAGGCAAGCCCACTTGAGCTCTTCTTGAGCATCCACCTACACACTCCCTCAGTAGAGAAGAGCGTCATGTTCGTGCAGCATGTGTGGGAAGGGGGGGGCGATTCTCAGCTCACAGGGCTTTGTCACTTCTGTAATCTGTATTTCTTATAAAGTGTTGCCTGAGGCAGCCACAGTGCCAAGTGCTACCCATTCAAGTGAGGATGCACGACGATGTGTCCCTATTTAGGAATTATTGAACATTGTGGAGGAAAAGAACCTCCTCCACCAATGTCCCTGTTTTCTACACCGGTACGCCTCGACGTCACTATCATGTTTAGACAAAGGGCACTTGGCAATGCAGATAAAACAGCACAAGGCATCCACATTGCTGCCATTATGAACAAGTACTTAATCTGGCATAAATGCACATGAAGTACTGGAGCAGGACATTCTTGTTTCCACAGCGCAACATGATTTATTAATCTCGTGACGTCATTGCTTACTTCGTTTCAGCGTAACAGTTGCAGGGAAAGATTTGTGTGTTTCTTGAATCTGAACTCACCAAGTGGGTCAATCTGCAATTTTTGTATTCAGGACATTTGAATGCCCTCTAACACTTTCATCAGTCTAAGGAATGCTGGCAATTGATGAAAACGGCCCTGCAGCTTACTAGTTTTCCAAACCATAACAGTGTATATATGTAGTGAAACCTCTGCCACAAGACCAATGTCCCACATCTACTGACCTAGTCTACAAGCTGCAGACAGACTGGCTTTATCCGCAGTGTCTGTATGATTCTACAAAATAATAAAACGGTTACCTCTTCATAGTTTTTGGCCTCCACACCATGCTTCATGTCCAGATTGACCAGCTGGTCAGGCACTCTTCCAGTCCCTGATTAAAGAGGAGAGATTTTTTGCATAATAAGCAAAAGGAACATTTTAAAATTGTGTTCACTCACTGTGCCATGTAAACCTAGTCTAGTTCCAGAACTACAAAAGCCTTTATTTACTATATTAATTTCACAGTTTTTTAATTTATCATTTTTCAGTATGAATCATTAGTTTACACTCATTCCTTCCACATTAACAAGAATGCAAAGTCTTTTTTGCCTTACTTAAACAACTACTGTGCTCATGATAATCATTACATAAAACATCAAACATGGTTAATTTCCATAAAGTCCCATCTTTAATGTCATGACCATATATTCATATCATGTCAACAAGAACATGACCAAAGAGTTATATATCATTGCCCGTTTCCTTTTTCTTTTCTTTTTAAATATTATTTTTCAGGCTTTTGCCTTCATTCGATAGGACAGCTGTAGCATGTCAGGGGGAAAGAGGGAGATGATGAGAAGCAAAGGACACAGCCTTTGTACATGGGGCACCCGCTGGGTACTGTACTGGGTGCCCCACCATTATATTTCTAAACAAAGTTGAGAAAATGTTAATCATAAACTCTGACACTCAGATGGTTGCTCCTGCTCAATGATAAAGACAAACTAATTGTGTGTGTTGATAATGGCTGTAGACTTTTGGATATCTGTTAGTGAAACTAAAATAATGACACTGACTTTGATAGGTCTATAATGAATTTTAATTTGTGCCTGTGCTTGGTTTTGGGGGGTTAACACACTTACCCATGGGTGATTTGCTCTCAAAGCACACCTCAAACATGTCATAGTCCTCTGTGGTGAATGCAAACTTTCCTTTTGTTGCATCTTCCTTGGAATAAAGAGTGTGGCTGGAGGAATCTGTGATCTACAAGGTAAGAGGAAAATAATGCATTAAATGTCAACTGTACTGCTGCTAACGTTGTTAAAATATTGCTTTATCAATATCTGCAGTACTAATACACAGGTGGCAGATGTGCTTTCTCACCACCTCTTATTGTGAATGTTTACAATAGTCATACTGCTGTTCTCTGCTACTAACCAAGACAAGAAAAGTCATAGTTGTCAGGTTACAGCCTGGCTATATTGATCTTTTAATTAACAATAATGTATCAAAATTTGATATTTTTCCAAGTACCATATAAAACTTAAATTAATCAATTAAATTAATCGGTTGCCAATAACTGTCATTGGTTCCAGCATCTCAAATGTGAAGATATGCTGCTTTCTCAGTTTTATATAACTGATTTTATGGTGTAATTGGTTGCATAAAACAGGCATTTAAAGGATTTCAGCTTGGGCTCTGCAGTGCATTTGACATTTTTAAAATCTGTGTCCTTTTTGTATGTTATAATAGTCATGGAAAAAATACTCAACTGATTAAACCATATAATAAAGCTAAGGGTTACTCACAGCCTCAACTGGCTGCATTAAAATGTGTATAAATTATTAATCAGGAAATATAATTAAGTCATTAAATACAGCCGCCCAGTAATGTTGATTTTTATTTGGCAGCTGTTATAAGATGGCGACTGATTTAAAGAACACTGACAGGATTTTTAAGAGGATGTAATGGACAGATATCTTCGATTAAAGTAAGGAGGACCTCATTCATTTGAATAACACTAGTGTTGCATACAAGCTGTCGTTGACATGTAGCTTAGGAGGCTAACGTGCTAACGTCCCTAGCTTGTGACTGTTAGCTAAACGGCCGGTAAGACTGACGTGTAACAGCAGCAGAGCCCAGCCGTTGGCAGTGACGGGATTATTCCACATGATATAACACACACTAATTGTGACATAAACACCCAGAGTGTGGAATAAAATGTGCTTTCATTAGCGTCAGAGTAATTTGAGTTTATGACAGAATTAATTCTTAACGATAATGTTAGCAGGCTCTGACGTTATCTAGCTAATTAGCAACTAAAACCAGGAAGACGTGTTTCTTGAGGCCTAGGTTAGCTACGATGCTAACAACAGTTGTCACATATTTCAGCCGCACGGCACCAACAGTTGGGACTATTTTAACACGATCTAGAATATTAGCTTGTAACGGCTGGTGTTCTTGAATATGGACGTTAACAGACTGAAGCCATTTCGGCCTCAGCACCATCTGGTAACGTTGACAGTAAGCTAGCCGCAGGTCTGTGCTCACCTTCAGATTAGTTTTGGTGTTCGCCTGTTCGGTTATTTCATACTCCCCCGTGACCAGGACGTCTTTGTGGATCTCCTCTCGTAAACACTTTCTTGAGTTGACTGGTAAAAAGAAGGAAATAGAAAATACAGATTCAATAAGAACCGGTAACAACAGTAGCGCAGCGAGTCGAGCCATGGCTACCCTCAACCAACCGACCAACCAGACCGTGCCAGCCAACCAGCTTAACACCGAGTTCCAGCTCACACAACCGGCCTGACTGGGCCCTCCAGCGCCGCCGCTGACCTGGAGGGAGAAGTACGATTCAACCAGTGACACTCCCTCCCGTGAGGTTAAAGTGAGTTCAACCTGCGTGGGTATGACTGGATAAAAAAAAATCAGTTGGGTCCCCTGGATGTTTGGGCAGCTGCCCCATAGGTGTAGATTTCGGGGGAAACACAGGGGACATATTCCCCTCAATATCTGGAACATGTACAGGGAAGAACAACCTGTCATCAAAGGGGAACACCACCTGAATTAAAAATTACAATATGTTATTTCCATGTCCTAGGAAAGTTTACAACATTTGTGAACATGAGCTACTCTCTGTCAAAGCCAGAAACCAGGAAAGTTATTATCAAACTTACGATGTCACAGGATATAAAGTCTGGAGCTGCCATAAACCATAATTGGAACAGAATGTTTTTCTTTTTTATAGCCAAATGAGCTTTGTTCTGGTGTAGTGTCCTCAGTTTTGAATCAGAAAATGCACCCATATAAACAGGATTACTGTGCATCACGCTAACAACAATCACTTCCGGGTAGAAAACTGTCAATTGATTAAAATTGTGACTATGTAAAATTGGCAAACCTTTTGATTTCTGTTGTCATTTTCAGCCATAACTACAATGTTTAAATATATATATAGTTAAACGCAGTGGTCCGACCTATCTGACATTTCTGCTGTGGTTATTTTATGTACTTTTTTGCTTTGTTATCATGCCTGATAAACCATATCTACCGGCGTGGAAGCTAAACTATACTGCTGAGGACAGGGTAACAGCAAAATATATTTTGGCCACCTAAAAAAAATCAATATCTGAGTTACTGTAGGTTAAATTTGAATATTTGCTCCGCTTTACCTTACTTACTAACAAATCGAGGCAGCAGTAGACCAGCAACTCAGTGTTCTGGGAAGTAAAATGACCGTTTTTGTCAGTGGAGTCCGACGGCTTTGATGTAATGGCTTCATTTAGTCGTTGGAAAAGATGGTCTGACAGCAAGGTAAAGTGGTGAAAATATTCTAAATATAGCTAACACTTAAAGAATATTGATTTTTATTAGGTGGGCCAAACGAACTAATTGAGGCAATGTCTACTCAGCGCTGTTTGATTTTAATGTACGTGATGCATTGCAACTTTGAATTTTAACACTCTAGTTTTTAGAAGGAAGGTGCAGCAGGTCCAGATGGCGCTCAGGGCCAATGGTTATGAGACAAAGATGAAAATACCACTACACTGTAAGTTTAGGACAGACTGACTCACCAGAAGCATCCCAGCGGGAGTCCTAGGCTGCTGAAACATCTAGCCAAAGTCTTCAAGTCACAATTCTCTTAGCACACCATCCAACATCTTAAGATCTGTACTGCTTCTCCCTGAAGACAGAACCCAGAGAGGAAAACTTAAGTGGAGCTTGAGACATGCAACAGCTGTAGGGAACACTACATCAATGCAAAGGCAAAGACCATGGACAAGAGTCTGAATGAACGCCAGAACATTAGTTATCTGTAAATTACAGCACTGATGGGAAAGGGCTCAAAGTCTTTGTCCAGGAGTTAATAGATGGCTGGAGAAAGATCAAGGAGGACAATCAATAAATCAATCAATCAATTTATTTGTTACATTAAATTATATAAAATACAATTCTAATGACATGTAATCCTGTCAGTTCCTTCAAGTGTGCATTTAAAAAAGTACTGTAATGGTGAATTTAAGATTGGGCAGTCTTAGGCAGTGTTTCATGTAGGATCTCGTGGCATGAGGGTAGAAGCTCCTCCTGAGCCTCTCAATGCCGGCCTTGTGTAACGTCTTCCTGCCCTCAACAGGGAGCGAAGGCTGTTAACCAGGTGGTTTGGATCCTTTATGATTCTCCAAACCTTACTCTTGCACGGCCTGGTCCTTAAGGCAGAGTAGACCAGCACCTATGGTGTATTCAGAGGAACAAACCAGTCTTGTTGGGGGCTGTTTCCATACCAGCCAGTAATGTTACCCGTCAGGACGCTCTTGATGGTGCAGGAGTAGAAATTCCTCAGTAAGTGAGGAGACACTTGGAATTTCCTCAAGTGTCTGAGATGAAACTGTCTTTGCTTTGCCTCTCTCACCACTATTATTACTATTACAACCTTTATTTAAACAGGGAAGGCCATTGAGAGCGAGCTCTCTTTTACAAGGACGCCCTGATTACAGTAAATATACAACAACAGAGGCACACAGAAGTGACAGTACACACGAACAAGTTATAAAACAATAAAAGAATCCAAAGGTTACAGTATGTAAGGACAAGGACGTCAGCATAGGGGAAAACGTCAGTTGACAGAAAACACGCATTCACGCTGTTTTACGTCAGTCAAAAGGGATTTGAATTGATTAAAAGGGATTAGCTTGTCTAATTTTACAAGCTTCTGCAGATTGTTCCACTTGTGTGGTGCGCAGTATTTAAGAGCCAGTTTCCTGGTGTCAGTATTAACATGACGATTTTCGAGAACCAAATACTCTTGGGAGCAAGTACAGAGGGAATTTGTTCTATGGATTAAAAGGCATGAAAGATACTCAGGTAGTTTGCAAAGGTGCTTTGTAAATAAATAGCAGTGTTGTTGTCATCTCACTGCCAATTACTGCAACCCAACCTTCTCATACAACAAACAATGATGCGTTCTAAAGCCCTCTACACTTATAAACCTTATAAATGATTGACTGCATTGAGAGGTTTATTGATTTAAGTATTTGCTTTCTACAGTCCTGAGTCATGTCTTATTTCTACAGAAAAATGTCAGTTTGCTTTTAAGTACTTAGTCAGTTCATTAATATGTTTATTAAAACAGATGTCATCAAGCCAGAACCCAAGGTATCTATAAGAGAATACTCTTTTAAATGGTGTCCCATTAAGGCAAGTACTATTCACATCAGTCGAACTGTTTGTCAGTTTTCCAGAGAACAAGATGCATTTGGTTTTATCTGAGTTTCACAGTAATTCAAGATCATTTACAGTTTGCTGTACTGAGTCACTGAGTCAGTATACAACGCCCAGGTCAAGCCCTCAGTGATGTGGACACCAAGGTACTTGAGCTGTCCACTCTCTCCGTAGTTCTTTCACTGCTTCTTCCTCAAGTCTATGATCACCTCCTTAGTTTTGCTAATGTTCAGGAGTAGGTTGTTGACCTAAAACCAGGAGGTCAGAGGCCCTTACTACGAAGCCAGTTCAACTTACCCAGGATATCTTCTTGTTATCTGGCTTGACTAACCCTAACATTGTCTGTCTGGATAACCGGCACTATAAAGCTGGTTATCAACTAGTTCAGTCAAATCTGGGTTTTCCTATCCAGCTACAAGCGCGTTGATGTGAAAGAGGCGGGGGTGTTAATTGTGAGTGTCGTCATCAGAACCATGAAAGACGTAGGCTGCTTCATATCATATGTGATGAAACGGTACTGATAGTGTCCCCGACTATGAGACAGTAAAATGTCAGTAGCATGGGATGTAAATGATACTGGAAACACTGAAAACACTTGAAAAAAATTCAATGTCATCCAAGACTTAAATGACGTGCAGATATCACTGAGCTACGGGCATATGTGACATTAGTATAGAGTACTTTTTGCTGTTTAGTTGGATGATGATGAATATGTCACATAAAACACTTTAAAGTAACACCAGACTGTTTCTGTTGCTGAAGTAAATGGTGGGAAAGTAGTTAATGACTGATGAGGTCTGTCTGACCAAAATGTGGCATTTATAATAATAACGGGAGCAAATTAACAGTGTATGGATTATTTTACTAATAAAATATTATCTGTCTTGTTATTTTGAGCTGCAGTGATGGAATCAGAGTATAAAAGTAGCAACACTGTCACTGTGGACAAAAATAAACTTTGCTTGATTTCAAATCCTGCTAAAATCCTATGTTTAGTGTGTAAACAATCTCTCCATTTGTTAAAAGCTCTGTACTCAAACCAGTGGAAACAGAGCCCTGGAACAATGAAATGATTCCACTGACCAATAACAGCATATAGGCTCCTCTTTTTTACCTGTCACGCCAGACTTTTGTCCATGGATGCTTTTTTCCTCAGTGATCTGATTGGTCAGACGTCAGGGTGTTGACAGACTAGGATCCGATACCCTGAAGTTAATCTGCTTCGGAGCAGGTTAGCTGTTCAGCATCAGTTGCCAGTAAAAAGAGAACCAGCTTAGTAGTACTGAAAACCATGAGTAAACCCCAAAGTTACCCCACTAACTTCAAATCCTGGCTCACAGTACAGGCCTGGGTCGTCTACTTCTTTCAGGCTGGCCTTACCAGTACATATATTCACACTGAACACCTAAGAGAACAGAGACAGGGTTTACAATCTCTGTCATAAGATAACACCTGAGCTAGCTTGATTTGTTGAAGAATACAGTGAAATGCAGTTGAAAGCTCTGAAAGCTAGTGACGCAACCTTTGAGTTTACATTACTTTGATGCATTTTATGCACCAGGTGTATTTCTAATTGCAAACTTCAGATAGGGACAACCTGATCTCATATTTCCTGAAAGAGGACAGTACAAAAAATACAATAGACAGTAAACTACAAATATGCCCCATCACCATGTGCACTCAAGCAGTACAACACACAGTACAAAGGGCCCAGGAATGCAATGGAGCAATATATCATAACATAGTGGTGGGCTTACTTATTAGAGTGAAAATACAGTGGATGTGTTTTAAGCTTTGTGCAGAACGGACAGGGTTCCTGATAAAACCTGAACTGCCCAGAAAGCAAATAGGCCTGACTGTGTCAATACAGTTTAGACACTCTAACAGATAGGAGCCCTGGTTTAAAACAACAACAACATCACTACAAACACAAAACTCAGTTTAGTAAATGACTTTCTAGTACCAGACTGCAGCACATTTTAAACCTGGGTCCCCCTAGTGGGTCAAAACGGCCACATTCCTGAGCCTAATAATGAGGGAGGCAGAGTGTGGAAAGACAAGTACTAACATGTGAGTTCAAGGTAGTGATATCCACAGCAGATAAATCAGGCGCTTTCATTTTATTAGAGAAGAAAAAACAGCAACCTTAGATAACAGTTTGTGGCACTGGATGTTTTTCAAATCGAGATGAATACACAAATACCTTTTTGCAGGCCCTTGACACCAGTCAGGGTCTGCTGTGGTAGTACTGGTAGTACTGTACTGTACTCAACATGAGATAAAGTCGTGATTGGTCTCTGTCATAAGAATAAAATGTGATCCTGTGTCATACAATGTAAATTCTGAAGGACAGTAGAGATGTACTTCAGCTGGATGAGCAATGATTGGTATATTTTTATTATTGTATATTGTTAATACTGCAGTTATAAGATTAGAAACCATCTGCTTTCATTCTACTGTGCTAGTCTTCTAAGTATTCACAGTCATCTTATTGATACTTGATCAATTTTCACTCAAATATGTCTTTAATATTACAGTAATTGCATAATAGTCCACCCTGTATATGATAATGGTAAATCCTAGTTACGAAACAGACATATCATGCACAGTGTTGGCTGGGGTATTTTGAAAATCCCAAAAGCTATTATTTTTCTGTCAGCAGCTCAGGGATTACCCAATTACATATGATAGAGCTGTCCAGTTTCCAGGGAAACATCCTTGTTACTGATCCCACGAGACGAGACGAGGACACGCTGCTGTGTGGGGAGTCTGGCACTAAGTGAACAGTAATTATTGGATAGAGAAATCCCTCCAGCATTGTAGCTTAGTGCGTCAAACAGCCACTAAGAATAGCAAGTCGTACACTCCTCCATGCTAGGGAGATTTTGGGCGAGAAATGAAATTACAAAACTTTCATGTACCTATGACAAATCCACATTTTTACATAGTTTACTGAACTCCCGGTGATCTCCTGTCCTTGAGTACATTATGAGCAACGTTCACTAAGTATGTCTTAGGGTGAGATGCAGTCTAGGTCACCTGGAAAGATACTACAATAATCTTACTATTGATTGACTAACCTTTTTATGACCTCTGGGCACTGATTCAGCATTGCATGTCATTATGAAAGTCCAGCTTTGCAGAGTGGAATACTTCCTTAAATCAGCATGCATGCTGACGCAAGTCTCTATACACACCCTCCAATTAATTGCCGTCATTCTAATCATATGTGGATGATGAAAGTAGTACAAACAAAAATCAGACCACACACTGATAACAGCACAGAATCCAGACTGAGTTCAAACCTACATCTGGTTTGTCATACAGTGTCACAGATGAACACACAGACCGTGTCATAGAAACTTAATGAATATCTGCATTGTGTCAGTAAAAGCAGTGGCGTGCCCGAGGGAAGGTTGGAGGGGGAGGGCATGGCCACTGTGATACAATTGCTGCACCCTTGGC